CGAAATTCTTTTTTAAGGTAAACTTCCATTTATAGTGTTCATCATATTTGTGTATTTATCATTTTCTATCTAATATCTGTACAACAAAATGATTCGATATTTGCAAAATATTTTGAAGACACCTTGTACTGTATATTTCGTAACCATATGAACAATTTTGAAAATAATAAAAATCAAAGATTTAGAGTTTTAGAATTTAGAAACATTATATGGTGGCAGAAACTACTTGTTTTTATCACCAATAAATGCAAGAGTGTCTTAAGCCAATTTCATTTCATTTCATTACCGGTGGTGAATAGAGAACTCAATTCTGAATTTACGACTATCAATGTTTAGTTCCGGCGCTTTGTGATTTTTTACCAAACCCAGAAGACAAAGGAACTTCTGGATCAAGTATTACGGGGACTGGTTTTCGTGGAAAACTTTTATTATGGAACTAACCCGCATTTGCGTTACACGAAAACCTTCCTCGGTTGGTCCGACAGCAAGGAGATTCAAAGCCATGATTCTTCTATCACAGAAGATATTTTACGTCAGCATCGTGGTAGGTTTGAACCGGGAGAAAAAATTTCGTCAACCAGCCACCGCTGGGATTTAAATCTGGGTCTCCTCATTGGGAGGCGAACGCTCTATTCCCTGAGCCCCCGTGACTTTTTTTTAACCATATTCATACTTTTGAGAATAATAAAACACAAAGATTCAGAATCGAAATATTAAGAAACATTATAGAGGTGGATACTATTTGCTTATAACAGTGATAAACACAAGCCTGTCTTAAACAAATTTTATTTTATGTTATTATCGGCGTTGATAATGACGCATTTTGGAGTTCATGACTATCAAAGTTGCAATCCTTGTAAGTCAGAGATATGCCTTGTAAGCTGGTCATGTAAGTCAAAGCCTTGTAAGTCAAAGTTGCAAGCCAGAAGTCAGAGATCAAGCATTGTTATAAATTTAATAAAGGACTTTTTAGTTGGAACTAACCCTCATTTTATGTTATTCGGTGAGGAAAACCACGAAAATATCCCGCTTTAGCCCAGCAGCAAGCAGATTTTAACCCATGAGCAGTCTACCACTGCGGATATTTTACACCAGCAACGTTGTCTGAGCTAGCTGGGAGCAGAATACGTAACGAATATTCTATCGTTCTCTCTAATAAATCAGAAAGCCACCATGGTAGGTAATATTCACTAAATAAATCACGAATTATTATCATTATTTCATCCATCGTTGAATAGGATAGAGAGGGTTTAAAATAGAACTCTGAATAAATATCAGAAACTTCCTCGACGTTTCGAAAGATTGGCCGAATGGAAAATAATCTAAATAAAAGCCTATTCGTAACTATAGACGACTACTACTAATTTAAATACTCAATTTCAAAAGATACCTTTGTCGTAATTCTAAATAGAATATTCTCTCAAATGGAATAATTCTCGTCCAGAAATTTTGCTTTATGCTTGCCCGATAATGATAAATTTTCAATGCGTCTGATGTAAAATTACCAGAGATCATATTTTACATTTGAGGCTTGATGATTATTAAGCGATAAAATATGCATTCATTCAAATTTAATAGATATGAAAAATATTTTTAGGTGGATTGATTGCAATTATAATGGTATCTATTTGAAATGGCCCTAAGCAATTGTGTAGAAAATGTTATTTCATTCTCTGGGCTGCAACGCTAGCATTGCATGTATGTTTTAACTTCTTTATGTTAGTTTAGCTTAAATAAAAATATACTAAGTAGAATATTTTAAATTTAAACACAGGTAAAATAATACCTAGCCGGACTTATTGTCTTATGAGAGTAGGTGTTTAAGGAAATTCTTAAGATTGTAATTAGGAGTAAATATCATTAACCCCTTGGGGACGGGTGATTCAGAAAAGCATTCGGACAAAATCAGGATCAGGACGTAATTAAATAAAAAACGGTAACTTAAATGTAGTCGTTTCTAATTTGACAGACTTACTTTGCTTTTACTTTAATTATTGTTAGTTTAATCATATATATAATCAATGTTAATTCAAAGTATAACTAAATAGTTTTATTTTGAACAAAGTAATGGTGAATTAAATAAATCAAACAATTATAACTCCGCCCACAAATAAACTGCTAAAGAATTACTTTGATTACCAGTTTTATCTTTTTACCTTGGTTGATACGGTTTTATGCTGGCACGTATTTGTGACAATCGGCGCGAAAGGGGTAACATTCTTAAAATATCATCTTCGATTATTCTGTCTGATTTTTCTGTTTTGATAAACTCTGTCTCACTGTTTTGAGGATACCTACACGTCATTGTGCCATAATTTACTTAAACTTATGACATAATTTATGTGGCTTGGCATAATTTATTAAAACTTACGACATTTTATAACGTGTGTTTCTGAATAACTCCGACGATAGTTTCGCAGTATTAAACAAGATTCTAAAAATTGGAAATAACATCAGTGCCTGATTTATTTTGTTTTGATAAGCTCTGTTAGGCTATTCGGCGGCTGTCTACTCGTCGACGCACTGCATGACATCTTATAATTTTACTTACGACAACACTTTACGACGTGTGTTTCTTAATTGCAACGAAGATAGTTTTTCCTAGTATTGAACGATCGACGAGTAGACATTCTCCGGATGTCTACTCGTCGACACACTGCACGACATCTTATAATTGTACTTACGACAAAACTTTACGACGTGTGTCTCTTAATTGCAACGAAAATAGTTTTTCTTAGTATTGAACGATCGACGAGTAGACATTCTCCGGATGTCTACTCGTCGACACACTGCATGACATCTTATAATTTTACTTACTACAACACACGACGTGTGTTTCTTAATTGCAACGAAGATAGTTTTTCCTAGTATTGAACGATCGACGAGTAGACATTCCCCGGATGTCTACTCGTCGACACACTGCATGACATCGTATAATTTTACTTACGTCAACACTTTACGACGTGTGTTTCTTAATTGCAACGAAGATAGTTTTTCCTAGCATTGAACGATCGACGAGTAGACATTCTCCGGATGTCTGCTCGTCGACGTACTACATCCCAGATAGCAAAATAGGGTTTATTTTCACTCAGCAAAAACCCTTCACTGTGAGTCTAAGAAGGTTTTTATGCGGTTTACGTGTAAACCTTCGAATCTTAAAACTAGATCTGTGATAATCTGCTCTATTCTACTCACATTACCCTAATCCAAAACCTTGGTAGACAACCTGCTATATAAAAACCTTAAATCGAAGTTGTCTTAGGGTTTTCACGCGTGAAAAAAATCCTTGATTAAAACTAGTCTTTAGATGAAAATAATCTTAAAATCTAGGTAATTATGAGGTTTCTTTTCTCAAAGTCTTGTATGTTCACCTAAAATTCACCTTGTCATGAAATTCTAATGGACAATGCAATTTGATCCTATCGCTAGTGTGACGTCAGCTAACACGTCATTTCGACCTAAGTGACCATTTTACAAAAATGACGACACTTTTTAAAAAAAAGCTTTAAAAATAATTTTTTTAAACTATTTTAGGATGAAAGGTTTGAAACTGCAATATTTTTGCTTGCCGTAAGGTTACATGCTTTCAGGGATGATATATAAATTAACTTATATCAACACTTTACTGTGTGCATTTCTGAATAACTCAATAATATTGAATGAGAATCTTAAATCTGAGAATAACAATTTCGATTATTTTGCCTGATTTACTCTAATTTGATAAGTTCTGCCAGACTTTTCTGCTGATGTCAACTCTACGACGTACTGCATGACATCATACAGATTAACTCATGCCAAAACTTTACTACCAGTATTTCAGCATTCCACGTGCATTCTCTTATCCTTGCGGTATTCTCTTGTCAAACGAAAGGTGCTCTTTCCTGACTTTATGCAAAAAGTAGTCCAAAGGCTAGCGAACTTGGCTTTACGAAAGGTCATTAGAAACAACAACAAATATTCTATGTTTATATCTACAATCGAGCTCGATAAGCTTTAATCAAACGAAGGGACGTATGAGGCACAAGTAAAATCAGCAAACCATTGTTAGATTGTCTTCTTGGTCACACACTAACCTTTGCTGTTACCCACATTTATATAAACAAAGATATTCATTGGCATTTTTTTGTGTATTTCCTGAAGTTAATAGTAGATGGCAGCATCAATCATGGGTAAGAAAATAAATTTCCATCGATATTTTCTATCGACAATTAAGCTAATGGAAAATATGAAGATTGCAAATTAAATAGTGGCAACTTAACCTTGAAACTCACAGAAGGGCGGGCATTCGCAAATGGGATATGGGAGCGGTGAGGTGGCGCTGTTGTCGATGTGTAGAGTGCAAAAAACAATCGATCTGCTTAGAAGGGTAGTTGTTGTGTGGCGTTAAAGTGAGGAGTTTCGTTTCCATCGCTCTAAATCATGTTTTCAAAAGGTGATCAGCGGTCGTGGCTTAAAATCGAGGCTGCCCATGGCAAAAATGCAACAGAATGCTATCGAGGATTAGTGGGAGCCTGTGGCGCAAATGCTTTACGGTATGGGACAGTAGCACGATAGGTTCAAGCATCTCGTCTTTTTTCGTCATTAAGCCTATTGAAAACATGCTTTAGAGCGATGGAAGCAAAACTCCTCACTTTAACGCCACACAACAACTACCCTCCTAAGCAGATCGACTGTTTTTTGCACTCTACACATCGACAACAGTGCCACCTCACCGCTCCCATGTCCCATTTGCTCATGCCCGCCCTTCTGTGAGTTTCAAGGTTTAGTTGCCACTATTTAATTTGCAACCCTCGTATAAATCTCACGACCTTAAAAGGGTTAATATGTAAGTTTAAATGAATGATTAAATGTGAAAATGTTGGCAGTAGCAGTTTATATAATTTCCGAATAATTTCTAATAAAAGAAGTGCTTAGAAAACGGAAACTAATCTTGTGATACATGTTCGCTTTATTTATGATCTGTTTCATTGTGAGGCATAATGAAGTGTTAAATCATTTACCTGGCCCAGGAGATAAGGGAGTTTCTTCATCCTTAGGCTGGGCGGGATCATCTTCGTCTGGAGGATTAGCAACTACAAAAAAAATATTAAAAAAAATAACTAAAAATTCCAGAAATTTTTTAAAACAGGTTTAATTATGCGCTTAAACAGATTTTCAAAATAATCCTGTTTCTAAAATAGATATTATTATTTGTATTTCTCCCTTTAAAAAATATTTTTGAAGTAAAAAATGAAATTTAATAGAAATTTTAGGTATTATGTAAAATCGCACATATGTGATATACGTTCTAAAAAATTGTAAAATATTTTATATGATATTAGTATAACAAACAGTACAAAAGAAAAACTTTAAATTAAAATTAAGGTATATTTTCTGCCATATAAATTTAAGAAGTAAACATTAACTAATAACCTCAGTAAAAATGATAATAAAAATAATTTTTCATGATCGTATTATTCTCTTTGTTTAATATTGTTAAATCATACTGGCTTACAACAGGACAGAAGATACACATGTTCCGTAACATTCATTTCTCTAAAATCAAAGTGTACCCTTTCCCTTTGAATGAAAAAATACTCCCAATGTATATAATAATATAAATTATTCAAGACACGTATGTAAATAATTATAAATTAATTATTAAAATCAGTGTGACTAATGTTTAGAAAAACTTAAAAGGAGGTAACAAATATATCATGAAGCTGTTGAAAGTTTTAAGAGATTTCATTTAACTTTAACCGTTTACATGCCAATGTGCTAAAAACGGAACAAGGACTTAGAGTTTAAATTTAATGAACAATAATATTATTTTTCATACATTTGAATGTTACATTAAGAAGAATTTTTTGCATTTAGTTTAATACCATTTCCGTAATTATTTGATTTTTTTTATAAATTTTAGAAACTTGACATAATTTGTAAAATTTTATCCTGCTTGTAATATAATTTACCAAAATTCCAATGATTACAAGCTTTTAAATGGATAATATTACCACCTGTCCTGCATTAGATTCGAAATTTTATTTTAAAATTTTAAAGAGATAATGCTAGTTTTAGAACTTAATGTTCTATTTTTGGAACATTGGCATTTCAAGGGTTCCATTTTTAGATTTCAAGTGATGCATTAGATTATGTTGTGTGCATTTTTCATTCAATTTCTATTATGGCAATTATTTAAGAAAAATAATTATGTTTTAATGGAAAAAGGCGTAATATAATTTAAATGGATAATATTACCCCCTGTCCTGCATTAGATTCGAAATTTTATTTTAAAATTTTAAAGAGATAATACTAGTTTTAAAGCTTAATGTTCCATTTTTGGAACATTGGCGTTTCAAGGGCTCCATTTTTAGATTTCTAGTGATGCATTAAATTATGTTATGTGCATTTTTCATTTAATTTCTATTATTGCAATTATTTAAGAAAAATAATTATGTTTTAATGGAAAAAGGCGTAATATACGTGCTTAGATTCAACTTCTTTTGCCATGAATTTGCGGGTGGCTGATAACAGAATGATAGAATACTTATAAAGAACAAAATATTCTTTTATACTCGGTGTTTTTTCTCTTTTGTGGAAATTCTAACGATTAAAAAGAAATTCATTCTAATAAGAACTTTCACGTGGCTGTAATACATTTTTGAGTTACATGACATTGATAGAGATAAATTGTAACTTCTAAAGAAGAATTTTCAATGAGTTCCAAGCAATGGTATAGTATAGATTCTCGCTGTTAATAGATTTTTTATTTCTGATTCTTGTGATTTATTTCACTTCTGTGATACAATTTTTGTTACAGAGAGAGTTAAAGACAAGTGTGGTCTTTTTATAATTGTCTTTATTTACTAATTTTGTGTCCTCTTAGCTCCAAGTCTGAGAGATGCGGAACGATGCAACCAAGAATAGCCTTATTAGAAAGATTTTCTGATTCATATTTGGGAGATCTAGATATTTGTCAGCTAGAACCTGATGAACCTGGAGTTTTAATTTATACGAAAAACATAGGGGGGAAATTAGAACCTGTTATACCCTTCTATACCTGTAGAATATATTGTAGTAATATGGGAGAAGATGAATTGGAAGTCAAATCCTAGAGTCAAGCGCAAATAAAAACAAAAAAAGTGAAAGCTCAATTATAAAATCGAATAAAAACATTAAATTTGAGAATATCCTAGGTTTGGAATATCCCTGATTGACTGAAAACTGCAAAAAATAATTACTAATAAAAATCGAAATATATAATAGCTATTTAAGTTAGTAAATTTTTCCTGCATATTTCTTTATAGGAATTACATACATATGCAGGATTGTCTGCTCAATTTAGGGTTATAGACCTTTGTCAAATAGAAGGACAGATAGCACAATGCAGCGAAAAACAGCACGTAGATACAGCCAGGGTTACAGTGAGATTCGAGCCCGCAAGTATACACACCATACGCGCCGTAATAGAGATTATATCCGACGTGTATTTACGACAAACGCTCATAACTGTTGAATTGTCACTAAATGTACGTCGAGTGCAAACTTATTAAATATATGGACTAATTACTTTGTTAAAAATGAGATCTTTTAAGTTCTAAAAGAATTATTTTATGTTACATGGTATATTTCGGAAAATAGATGGATTTAGTTGACTCGAAAAAACAGCGCAATAGATGCAATTCAAATGCAGTAAAAAGTACTATTGATGTTCAATAAATAAGGAGAAAAATGCGTTTCATTTGTCAAATGCTCAAGCATTCGAACAAATTCAGATTTTCAGGTACTTAGAAGAAGAAACGAAACAAGTTTAGCGGTGATTTGAAACAATGGCCATTTTCTTTTGTCTTGTCATTCGTTTGTTTGACGTTTTTCTGTCAAAGAAAAAAAAAGAAGTGATGGAAAATCATTACTTGGAAAATGCAATGTCGAAGTTTTAAAACAAAATGATTTGTGTTTTCAGTTTTCTTTAGGCTCAGGCTATCTTTGTGGGGGATTTATTTTAAAGTTAGCTTATTACTCTAGATGATATTTATTATTGCCTTTGTAGAAAGTTATCCTACGAAAATATAGGTTATAAAATTGCCTACAGGTATACGACAGAATTATGGAAACACTTTGATACTATTTCTGCTCAAACTATCTTTCTTAAGGAAACAAATGGCATGGAAGATTTTGCATGGAAATATTGTTGTCACAAATTGAAAGAGCGTGCTTAAAGCTTTCAGAAATGGTGTCATTTTTACAAGTGCTAAATTTGAATCCACCAAAATGAGAGAAGGAAGTTAAAAACTACTTTCTTTTTTTCAATGCCACTATGATTAAAAAAACATTATAATATAAATATTGTAATCATATAGAATGATTTCAAAATCGTTGGTATTATAGCCAGATTGAAGTTATAATAACTTCCGCTCCTTCCGATATATATATATATATATATTAATCAGGGGTACAACATAATGAGGTGCAACAATATGTCCGCCATTTCTTTTCTGCCGGTAACGCTTGTGTTTGGTGCTGTAAAGTTATAACAAATTGCCAATTACATACCTGCCAACTTGTACGATCGCTTAAGCAAGATTTTACAAAGTGATAGTAAAATAACAATTAATTTTGGAAGAATTTTCTAAAAAGAAAACTATTAAGACATCTATAAACATAATTAGCCGCTATGTGAGTAATTACGTGGGTATGTAAGCCACTATGTATATAACTACCACTATGTGAGTTTTTGGAAGAAAAAATAAACATACAAGTTAATTGTTCCATAGGAGCTAATTTTCAAGGCAAGTATGAGGTATTATTTAATTTATAATTCATGGTTTAGAATACTGCACGATTTAAAATGTATACATTAATATAATGTATGATTTATTAAATATAGAATAAATGTTTTAATAAAAATATATAATCTTAATAAAGTTGCTTAACAGTTGTATTCTTACTAGTTTCATAAAATTGTTACTTATGCTTGTCAAGAGTTAATTATAACTTTTCAAATAACTATGATTAGAATTTCAATTAAATAAAAATGAATAACCTAAATAAATAAAGATTTTAATAACACATATTCTAATTTAATTAAACTGTTATTTCTGCTTGTTAAATATTAATTATGTGATTTTAAGTAACTAAAATAATTTTTTTTTCAAATTAAAACAATTTAATGCTTAGCTTTGTTTTTAAGTTAAAAGCACATCGTAAAAAACACGTATTATGCTAAACTAAGCAAAGAAATAAAATTATGCTTTTTGTTTTAAGAAATAATTTTGCATTTAAAATAACAACAAGACATATCAAATAAAAATTTTATAAATAGAAGAAACCTTGAGAAACAAATTTTGTTAAGACAATATTTCAAAACTGCGAATGCAGATGAAAATATGAAAAACAAAAACCCTCTCAAACGCAAAAGAAGGTATTTAGAAGAAGAAAAAAAGATGTTTGCAGAAACAAGTAATCCGCTTAGTTTCGAAGTTATTCTATCCTTTAAAGTCACTATTGTTGAAATATTCTAAAAGAAACTAATATCGGTAACATGGCATTTTTGCTCTGGAGATAACAAACCATTTTTCAGTTCACTGAATAAAAAAAAAAGGATTTGTTACTAAAAACAAGATTACCAAACATTTTCTATCCACAAACACGTCTCTCAAGGGTAAAAAACACTGCACAATAAATTCGAATCGAAAGAAGCATATATATGTGTATAATATATATACATATATATGGTGATTTTGTATGGTTTTTGTAATTTATTGCTTTCGACTTACATATTTGCAGGAAAGGGTTGGGAATTGAATTTCGATATAGATATTTTAGAAATTGAAATATCTATTTGATGCTTGTCAAAAACAATTCCATGCTCTTTTTAAGGATAATGTCTTCCGTTAAATTATTCGATTACTATAAAGTTCTATGAGAGAAAATTCTTAAATCATTTCATCTCCTTTCAAACAAAAACACTATGTAAAATTTATGCATCAAAAATTACATCTCACGGAGATTTGTCTCAAGTAGAGTCCCTATATTTTATGCAGTGAGAGAGTAAAGACATACGGGTAACAGTCTGGGATTGGCAGAGAACGGA